CATGGTTTTCTTCTCTTCCCCTTTCCCCCATCACCGTTTACCCCCTCTCTGCCTTCTTCCCACTTCCATCACCCCCATTATCGCCACACTGTTGCCCATGTTCGTGAGCTCTCTCTTTTTATTTTTTGCCGAGTCTCTCCCAACATTTCCCTCTTATGCACTGGCCCTCCCTCCCCCAGCTGACTCTATTTTGCTTGATGTTCAATTTGCTTGGTGTTCAAATTCCATATATGAGTAAAATCATATAGTACTAATTTTTCTCTTACTGGCTTATTTCACTTAGCATAATGTTCTCCAGGTCCATCCATGCTGTCACAAAGAGTAAGCTTTTCTTCCTTTTTAAGGCAGAGTAGTATTGCACTGTGTAAATGTACCAAGTTTTTTATCCACTCATCTACTGATGGACAGTTGGTACTGATGGACAATTGGGCTGATGAACATAGGGGGCTGCATATATTCTTTTGAATTAGTGTTTCGGGTTTCTCTAGATAAATTCCTAGGAGTGGAATTGCTGTAGCATAGGACAGTTCCATTTTTAAAGTTGATAAACAGCCGAGACCGGTTTGGCTCAGTGGATAGAGCGTCGGCTTGGGGACTGAAGGGTCCCGGGTTCGATTCCGGTCAAGGGCATGTACCTTGGTTGCGGGCATATCCCCAGTAGGGGGTGTGCAAGAGGCAGCTGATCGATGACTCTCTCTCATCGATGTTTCTAATTCTGTATCTCTCTCCCTTCCTCTCTGTACAAAATCAATAAAATATATATAAAAAAAAAAAAAAAAAAAAAAAGTTGATAAACACATTGAATTTTTTGAGGTAACTCCACACTGTGGAAAAACATGGTTTTTCAACTGAGGCTGCACATTGGATCAGCCTGGAGAGATAGTTTTTGTGCCTTTTTTAAATAGTGATGTTCCAGTCCCCCTTCCTAGTACTCTGGTTTCATTGGTTGATGGTAGGGCTTGCATATCTTTTTAAATTCCCTTTCTCCCAGTTGGTTCCAGTGTGCTGCTAGTCTTAAAAATCAGTGGTGTAATGGTATCTTACAAAAATTAGGATCTTTTATTTTAAAATATTTTTTAAAAGTTTGTTTTTTCAAGAAGTAGCCGAGACTGGCTTGGCTCAATGGATAGAGCGTCGGCTTGGGGACTGAAGGGTCCCGGGTTTGATTCCGGTCAAGGGCATGTACCTTAGTTGCGGGTATATCCCCAATAGGGGGTGTGCAACAGGCAGCTGATCGATGACTCTCTCTCATCAATGTTTCTAACTCTCTCTCCCCCTTCCTCTCTGTACAAAATCAATAAAATATATTTTTTTTTAAAAAAAGTAAACTCATGAAATAAGTCTATTTTGTTGTATCCGAAGTACCCCTTCAACATTGTCTAGCACATACTGGCAAGTATTTCTCAGGTGAATAGTAACAATTCAGACACTATGAGAGTATACAGTGTAAAGTGAGTGTATGTTTGTGTGTGTGTGTGTGTCCCTACTTTTTTTTGAAACTCAATATTCATGTTGCTAACTATAGACCTTGCTCTTTTTAGTGATTACAAATTTCATAATATTTAGCCAGTTTTTTTTATACGTGATTATTTAAGTTATTTCTATTCTTATGCAACAATAAAAGGCTTAGTAGCTCACTATTCTTCAGTATACATGTGCAGTAAGATGCCTTGCCAGAAGTGGAATTTAGGGTCAGGCATTCTTAGTAAATTTTGATCAATATTACCACTTGCCCCTGTTGACTATGTGAGAATGTCTGTTTCTGTTTACCCTTGTAATCCTATATAATAAAGAGCTAATGTGCTAATTGTCTTGCTGCCCTCACACTGTAATGGCCAATCAGCAGGAGGCTGCGTGCGCTGGGGGCAGAGCCGCAGTATTGTTCCAGAAACAAGACAGAAGCTCCATACTCTCCTCCGACTACCTTGTTGCTCTGGAGATGGGGTGGAGTGGGGAAGCGCCCAGGAGGGGGGACCAGCCAGAGGAGGCAACTCAGGGGGACCAAGGACAGGGCTTGAAGCAGCCAGAGAAGGCTGGTGGGGTGGGGCCAGGCACATTTGAGCTCTGGGTGGAGAGGTTAGGGTGTCAAGGAGGGGCAGTGGGTGGGTGGGACTGCACGATTATACCCGCTGGGCTTCTAGTGTTAATAATAAAACACTTTTTAAAAAAATAAATTTTATTGATTTTTTACAGAGAGGAGGAGAGAGGGATAGAGAGCTAGAAACGTCAATGAGAGAGAAACATCGACCAGCTGCCTCTTGCACACCCCCTACCGGGGATGTGCCCGCAACCAATGTACATGCCCTTGACCAGAATCAAACCTGGGACCTTTCAGTTCTCAGACCGACGCTCTACCACTGACCCAAACCGGTTTTGGCAATAAAACACTTTTGATCTCTATTTTATGGTTTATATTTCTATTCTTTTGTGTTTTCCTTTATTAATCCTTATCTAAGGATATTTTTTCCATTGGATTTTTAGAGAGAGTGCAAGGGGGAGAGAGAGAGAGAGACATCTATGTGAGAGAGACACCTTGATTGATTGCCTCCTGCACTCTCTCTGACCCAAGGGCCAGGGATTGAGCCTGCAACTGCAGAATGTGCTCTTCACCAGGAATTTGACCAACGACCCTTTATAGTCCTCAGGCCAATGCTCTAACCACTGAGCACCGACCAGGGCTCTTTTCTTTTGAGTGTTTACGGTTCATTTTCTGTGAAATATTTGAACTTTGGTTTTCTTTTTTTAAGTTGTTGGTCTTTTACCGATTGTACTTTATGAGTTTTTTTAAATATATTTTTATTTCAGAGAGGAAGAGAGATGGAAACATCAATGGTCCCTTGGCCTGGCCTGCACCCTCTTGCAATCCAGGACCCCTCAGGAGATGTCAGAATGTCGGTTTCAGCCCGATCCCCGCAGGCCAAGCCGAGGGACCATGCATCAGGCCTCTAGTATGCATGTTAGATCTTTGGTTAATCTCTTCCTACCCTCCCCAATCATCCCCTTCCCTCTGATTCATCAGTCCCATGTTTCCATGGCTGTGCATTGAGCGTCTGCCCCTTGGTGGTCAGTGCATATCATAGCTAACAGTCAAATGGTTGCTTAGATTTTTATATACTCTGAGTAGCCAGATTGTTATGATCTCTCTCTCTCTCTCTCTCTCTCTCTTTTTTTTTTTTTTTTAATATATTTTATTGATTTTTTTAGAGAGGAAGGGAGAGAGATAGAGAGCTAGAAACGTCGATGAGAGAGAAACATCAACCAGCTGCCTCCTGCACACCCCCTACTGGGGTTGTGCCCGCAACCAATGTACATGCCCCTGACCGGAATCGAACCCGGGACCCTTCAGTCCGACACTCTACCACTGAGCCAAACTGGTTTCGGCCAGATTGTTATGATCTCTCGACACATAATAATCTGGCCACTCGAGAGAGTGTGTGTGTGTGTGTGTGTGTGTGTGTGTGTGTGTGTGTGTTAGAGACCCAGTGCATGAATTCGTGCATGGGTGGGGTCCACCCAGCCTGGCCAGGGGGAGGGGACATGGACACTGGTTGAACTCCTGGTCAAGGGGACAATTTGCATATTAGCCCTTTATTATATAGGATATACACTGAGTGGCCAGATTATTATACTTTCAATGATCATAATAATCTGGCCACTCAGTGTATATAGATAATAAAAATAAAACCACCTTAGTAAAGGTTTAGAAAATACTGAACAATAGAAAGGAGCACCCGGGGAGGGGAGGGAATCACCTGTACTTCTATCATTCATCACCCACATGATCCTAAACATTTTAGTACAATCTTTAAATCTCTTATTGTAGATTTATTTTATAGCTTTTTTTTTTTTTTTTTTTTTTTTTGTGCTGTATATAAAATTTTTGAGTAATGTCTTTAAACTTTTCTATCAGAATAAGCATTCATGTCATTTCATGCTTTCTGTCTCAGGATCAATGCACTATGGCAGTGCTTCTCAAAGTTTGTCCAGGGTTCTTAAGACTTTCAGAGAATCTGTGAATTCAAACTGTTTTATAATAAATTTAAGGCATTATTTGCAATTTTCACTCTTAACCTCTTGTGAGTGTACAGTAGAATTTTTACTTTTACATGATGTAATATTATAACAGATTGAATGCTGAAAGCAGATATGAAAACCCAGCTACATTTTTAAAAGTCAGACATTAAATTTATAAATCTGTAAAACAAAGATATTCTCATTGAATTTTAATAGTTATTTTTATTAAAATGTTACTTGTTTTAATATATAAATAGTTTTTTAAAATATTTTTTTATTGACTTCAGAGAGGAAGGAAGAGGGGAAGAGAGATAGAAGCATCAGTGATGAGAGAGAATCATTGGTCAGCTGCCTTCTGCACTCCCCACACTGGGGATTGAGCCAGAAACCCAGGCATGTGTCCTTACTGGAAATCAACCCGTGACCGCCTGATTCATAAGTGAACACTCAACCACTGAGCCATACAGGCATGGCAATAGTTTCACTATTTGAACATGAATAAACATGTAACATTTTTTTCTCAGTTTTAATTGTAAATGGTACATATTGAAATAAACCATATGTGCATACTTAGTAATTAAACCATATGTGCAACCTTTTGTGCATAGAAATAAACCATATGTGCAACCTTTTGTGCTTAGAAATAAACCATATTTGCAACCTTTTGTGCATACTTAGTAATTTTTCAAAATATAAAAGGGTCCTGAGACCGCAACGCTTCCAGACTGCTGTTCTATAGTATTTAATGTAAAAGATGGTTTTATTTAAATTTTTAAATGTCTTTTTAAGGTATGTGATTACTTGATTTTGTTTTGATGCAGTTGACTCAAGGTAACATAGATTACAGAAAATACAGGCCTCTTTTATAAGAGAACATTTTTATTCCTTGTATTGTGGTATTTGTATACTGCTATATTGTGCTTGAATAAGATTAGGCATGGAAATTTTAAAACGGTGACTTCCGTTTGTTATTTTTCTCTCCTCAGGCGGCTGAGTATGTCCCAGAGAAGGTGAAGAAAGCTGAAAAGAAATTAGAAGAGAATCCCTATGACCTTGACGCTTGGAGCATTCTCATTCGAGAGGCACAGGTTTAGTGATATAGGATTACATTTCCTTCTCTATGGGTCCAGTCACACTACTTGGTTCTGCAGTAAATATTTTCTTGATCCTAACACTGTAAATGCTGTTATTGGTTTTCAATTTTAGAATCAACCTATAGACAAAGCACGGAAGACTTATGAGCGCCTTGTTGCCCAGTTCCCCAGTTCTGGCAGATTCTGGAAACTGTACATTGAAGCAGAGGTTAATATTTTATTTTATTTTTCTTATAAGCATCTGGTGGGAATTGCAGCATACACTATAGTGGTAAAGACAAGTTAGGGACATAGATAGCACAACTCGGACAAGGAGGGTTTAAATGTCTTTTGCCTTTATTTTGTAAAATAGGTATAAAGGAGTGATTAAAATGAATTTTTGAAATTTGGGTCTTTACAAGCTGATGATTGTTGCATTTTGCGATTGCAACAACATTAAAACAGTTTCAATGGTATTGGAGTGCTTTAGCCTTTTATTTACTTGTCATGTGTCAATTTATTGCCTCCTGTGTCATTTATTTAGAGCTCATTTTTCTTTTGATTCCTGCTTACAAAAATATGAACTGGTATTATAAGAAAATACAGAAATATTAACTTATAAGAAATGTTAGTTTAATAGGTTATTTTGAACATCTCTGGTGAAATGAAACATTTAGATGAAAAGTAATCTCAGATTTTAATTTCATGAAAATACATGGTTTGTCAATAAATGTAAGCACTTCAGTAATTTCAAGAAAATTTTTTTCTGCCGGAAGAAGTTTACATTATAAAGAAATAAGCTAATGTGACTTAAACTTATGTAATCATAATTTACACCATGCTACTTTTTAAAAAATTGCTTTTTAACTGTCTTGATATTTGAAGTCAGGTATGTTTATTTTAAAGAGTAAGGGCCCCATTCTTAATTATAATTAGAAGGGAATGTTCTTTTTTGAAGGCTGGAATTAGCGATCAAATGATAATAAAGTGTTAGTGTGTTAATAACATTTGGCACCAAGTAATCAATATTTCAGGTTATAAGTTAATTGAGTGGAAAGGGTGAGATGGGAAGAATAATTGATATCCACATTATAACTTATGAAGTATTCTTACTTTCAATATTAATTTTGTAATATAAATTCTCAACATAATCAAGTACACTGCAGCCTTGTCATATTTCCCACCCTAGCTGAATGTGATAATATGTGTCTGTTTTGGACCTATTCAAGGGGCTTTTAGTTATCAGTGATATGAACCGACTTCAGCACCACACAGTGTTTCCTGTGATGTGTGTCTCAGAATGGACTCTGCCAGTAGCAGCTTTAATTGGAGGCTACAGTGTACTCGTTGTATTTGCGATTGAACTTGTATTACTTTGGGAGGGGGACAACTACTGGACGACAGCAGGGAACGTGTGCGTGTTAAATTTTTTGTGTGTGATTGTATATGTAGTATGTGTGTTTGTATGTTTGTTGTGTGAGAGATATTGTACCTTATGTGGAGTCTGGTTGTGGTTTTGGCCCAGAATCTTATCCTTAAGTTTTATCCTATGGGGTCATTTCTTTTGTTAATATACTTAATCAACAAAGTAGACTGATGATTCATGAAATTCAGCAGGTGAGTGAATAGGTCTGTCTGAAGTACTGAAGCCAGTGCTGCTTTGTAATACTTACGAAAGCAAGGAACATGAATCACATGTACTTAGTCTGCATTCTAGTTTGACTTTACAAACACAGGTTATATGCAAACTCATCAGAAATGAACATCATTGGTATATAATAGATTTTGTATAATGAAGTACTTTCTGAGTTTTAGAAATTTCTTTCAATTTCTCATATTCAGTCATTATTCATGTGCTTTATTATAACATAAGTTAAACTGAAATTGGCAGTTAGACTGCATTCTATAAGTTAAAACACAATGAGAGTGTCTCTCCCATTTTCTAACTGAAAATATGAAGTGCATTCTTAAAAAGAATTCCAAGACAGACCAGATGTTATTCCAAGGGGCTAAAAATTTAAATATCAGACTCATTTCACATATTTCAGAGCTGCTAGCAGTTGACTGATTTATTTAGTTGGTAATGTTTGCAGTTATTTTGCACACATAAACACAAATTTGAATATATGTATAAAACATCTTGAGAAAAAGTGGTAAATAATATATTGTATATTTTGTAAAATATATGTTTACGATTTAAGAGTTAAGATGTTAAATTGAATCTTAATTTCAAAAATTCGTATCCTGAGCTGTGTTTTTCTCTTTTTTGATTTGCTCTTTTATTTTATTTTACTTTTTAATTTTCAATTTTTTACTTTGTTTAGCCTGCGAGAGGCTATATTTTTCTTTGCCCATATTTCCCAATGTGGCCCTTAATATTTCTGGTGAAGTCACATAACCTATTGATAATATGTTAAAATCTAAGGTAATAAGAATGTCTTTACATCAAAGGTAGTACTAACAGTGTTTACATAACATACTGTATGCATTCTCAAGAAAATAAAATTTTGTTAATACATTTGTTGTAACTCAGTACTTCATGGTGGGGAAATTATAATATTTCATTTATTTATGTTCAGCTAAACCAACTTGTATGAGTCCAAATACATTTAGTTCTTTTCTAATAGAAAATACATAATACCTTTCATAACAAGAGATTTGATTTCCCAGAGAAGTTTCTTGTAAATCCTACTTAAGATCAAAGTGGGGGGAAAAGCATATATTTTGCTTTTAAATTTGAAATATCATTTGCAAATAAATAATTCTTAGTAAGTAGTTAATGTTAGTGACACTAATCTATTGTTTTTTAATATTTGCCAATATATAAGCTTTTCTTATATCAGTGAACATTTAGCAAATATACCTGGCTTCTTGTGTAAAAGTTGAACTTTATGATGTCATCCTTAATTCATTACCTACTTTTATTTTTTTACTAAAGTTTAGAAAGTGTTGGAAGTAAATTTTTTGTTCTAATGGAAGGGCATTTTAGAACCACCATTTTTATATTTGTGATATTACATAATTTCAGAATTAAGCCAAATTACTTTAGTGTTATATCTATTATACAGTCATGTGCCACATAACAACAGTTGGGGTCAATGACAGACTGCATATACAATGGTGTATACCTTAAGTCTATAGTATGCTATCCCATCTAGGTTTGTGTAAGTGCACTCTGTGATGTTCACACAATGACAAAATCACCTAACAATGCATTCATTTCTCAGAAAATATGCCTGTCGTTAAGCAGCTCGTGACCATATAGGCAATCACATTTTGCCTCAGGTATGTGAAAGATAAATGTTTTACTCTTGAATTCCAAAACTGCTCCTTTACATGATTTAACTGTCATAAGAAAAACCAATTGTATGGCCATTCTTAAAGTGCTATAAATATCAAATATAGTCTAATTGTGTTATATGAAGATATTTTTACTGCTGATTAGTTTTATTTTTAATATATTTTTATTGATTTTAGAGAGAGGAAGGGAGAAGGAAAGAGAAACATCAGTGATGAGAATCATTGATCAGCTGCCTCCTACTGGGGATCGAGCCATACAACCAGGCATGCGCCCTGACTGGGAACAAACTGACGTCCTGGTTCATGGGCCAACACTTAACTGTTGAGCCACACCAGTCAGTACACTGGGTAGTTTTAAAGTAAACATTTTAATACATTTATAGCCATTTAGTTGATATATGGATGCCTTAAATCTACAGTGTAGATGGGGTTTTTTGTTTTTTCCTGTTCCACCTATTTATGCATTCATTCATTGGTTGATTCTTTTTTTTGTTGTTATTCTTAATCCTTACGGGAGGATATTTTTTTGTTGATTTTTAGAGAGGAAGGGAGAGAGGGGACACATGCACACACCCACACACCCACCACTGCCTTCCACATGCTCCCTGACCGGGCTGGGGATCAGACCTGCAACCCTGGTACGTGCCCTTGGCTAGAAATCAAACCCAGAACCTTTGGCCAGGCCTCATTGGTTGATTCTTATATGTGCCCTGACTGAGGATCAAACCCTCAATCTTTGGGATATCAGGGCGATTATCTAACCAACTGAGCTAGGTGGCCAGGACTAGTGTAGTATATTTTTACGTTTAAGAAATGTGAGTTTAGAAAAACTAGAGTTAGTTAATGGAATGTCCCTGAGAACCTGAATGCTCTTTAAAGAACCACTTTTTAGAGTGGTCAGAAGGGTCACTAAGTATCACAAAATTAAGAAAATTTAGTTTTGCCATTCTGTTTTTTTTTTAAAGTTTTTTTTCTCCCTCGTGATACAGCTTTTCATGTAGCTAGGTAGTCAGTGTGATAGCATGTAATGTACAACATCTTATTGTTAGAAGTAACTTGTTTTGAATTGGTCCACATTCATAAACAATTGTCCTATGAAAGGATAATTTTTTTTATTAGTAGATAAAGGAGAAATGAAAGTAATGCTGCAGGTAATAGCAACAATGTATCTTGTTGTCTGTGAAAGCTGTTATTCTTGAATAAAAGCAATATAGAATTGATTGCATTTTCTTTTAAATAATTTAAAAACATTAATACTTAAATAATGGGTTGTAAAGTATATGTTTTCATTTTTTTCATAATCTTTCTACTTGAGAAAAATCATTTATAAATACCTTTCTTCATGGCAAATGGAAATGAACTCAGGATGGAACATGAGTGACCTAAATTGAAATAAACTTCTCTACTGTCTACTGTTTTTATGCCTCTAAATAGCAGTTTAAACTGTATTATGTTTTGTACATATTGAACAATGTTATTTTTTTAATGCAGATAAAATTATGGCTTTATTATGTAGATTATAATTTTTCTATTCAGCTTGCAATCTTTTTTTTTTAATTGTACTCTTTTTTTTCTATAAATCTCTTTTCCTGTTTGTAATAAATGTTGGTCCATGTCTGTGTGATTATTCAGAATGTACTCTAAAACACAACATGCTCAATAGTTTCTTAAATGCATGTATAATGTAGTGGGGAGGTGTAAAAGAAAACAGGAATTATTTGCAAACACAGACCTGAGTGATTAAATATCTGAAAGTGCTTTGAATAATAACATAATTATTTTAAAAACAAAGGAAATATTTTCATGTTTACTACTGTAGGCAGTAAACTTCTTTTTTGGTTTTATTATAATGTCTCATGCCATTTTCCTTTATATGTAGCATAGATGTTTAGGTGTCACTTCTTACATAGCCTATACTTTTTTTTCCCT